ATGAAGGGCTTTATAAGTTACGACTAGCACCTTGAAGTGTATCCGCAGACTGATTGGTAACCAGTGCAGCTCGCGGAGGATAGGTGTAACATGGGTGTACCAAGGAGCACCCACAATCGCTCGCACGGCTGCGTTCTGGATGAGTTGAAGTCTCCGAATACTCTTCAAGGGCTGCCCCATGTAGAGCGCATTGCAGTAGAAATCAAATTCAAAATATATGAATGTATAGTATATTCCAGTTCCTAAATCCACCACCACATTATTATTGATCATTCTCTGAGGTAATCCTGTATAGCAGGATACCTCAGAGAATGAGGTATGAGAATGAGGGGTGGATTTAGAAACTAGAATATACTATACGTTCATATATTTTGAGTTTGATTTCTATCAAATCAAATTCAATGAATGAGTTATGGGAATGAGTGGTGTCAAACTCGCGGCTCGTGGGCCAGATGTGTCACACACTGGCCACACCCACCTCCGGTTTAGCGAAGGAGAAAAAAGTTGTGATATGTCAAGTGACGAAGATGTGACAATGCGAGTTTGACACCCCTGCTGTATAAGGATGGCAATACTTTTCTGACATCTCTCATTTTAAAATAATAAGCTAATGCCATATCATTTAAATCAACCTTCCACTGGTTTACTAGAATAATATATTCCAGTTCATTATTTTAAGATGGCATAAATCGTATCAATTTTGACCACTTCCTTCAACTTCCTTTAAAAAATGGTTACTGAATTAAGGTCTGTCATTAATACCTCCTTAACTTCCCAAGTACTTTGAAACTTCAGAAGCAGAAATAGCATCTTGGCCACAAGTTGACTGACTTGAGGAACTGCCAAGAAGTATTCTGAGATAAATCAAGCATATATTGAAGTCAATTCCAGAACTAGACACCAGATGGTGACTTTGTCCTTCCAACGATCTGAAATACTAATGAATGAAAAGATAGCAAGTCTGCTGACATAAGAATATGCATAGAAATCAGATGCAATTTGTAACTGATTCAAAAAGAGCTCTTCACCTTGGGAGAAGGAAAGAGGCAAGCATTTTGACTGGAATCAAGGTCCTTACCTCACACCTGCAGAAAAAGGACATTCGTTCTGTGCACGATACCTGAATTTTTAGATTAGCGCACCAAGAGTGAAGCGAAGCTGAGGCAGCCAATGGGCCAGAGCCTAAAGCAGATAGAATCCCCCTCCCCTTTATCATAGCAATAGCAGTTAGACTTATATACCGCTTCATAGGGCTTTCAGCCCTCTCTAAGCGGTTTACAGAGTCAGCATATCGCCCCCAACAACAANTTGTTGGGGGCAATAGGCTGACTCTGTAAACTGCTTAGAGAGGGCTGAAAGCCCTATGAAGCGGTATATAAGTCTAACTGCTATTGCTATTGCTACTAATTAAACCGCATAATGAAATAAGAGAAAGTGTGGCAGGCCCAAATCCTAAAAAGAATATAAAATGCAGGCCTGACGCTAAATATTTGTTGATTATTGTTGATTACCAGAGAAGAGAAACAGAAAGAAACGGAGAAAGAAACATTTGCCAATGGCAAACTTTTATGAACAGTGTTCCACCCAATGGAATATATTCCCATCTTTCTACCTCAACATGTGAGGATCCCTTTGGAACCTCTTAGCGGTCCCATCATTGAAAGGATTTGGTAGATAAATTAATCCACCCCAGGATAAAAATGGCTTGGAGGATGGCAAATTGGAGTAATGACTCTTCATATAAAGTTCTGTTCTCACTCCTAGGGTATGGGATGTATCTTCCTCAATTTTGGGTCCTCCATCAGAGGTCTGGGAGTTTAAGGGTTCTGCACAGTATCTTAGTTGTTTCTAACACTGTGCTCTTCTGGATAGAGAGCTGTGATGTTGTGGATCTGTTGGATCTAGCCTCTTTGCCTTTTTTGAAGGGGTGATGTTCACTTCAACACTGTAATAGATTCCACTGATAGAGGCAATTAAGTGATAAATTCTTGTTGGTTTCATAAATACCCCGCTAATTTCCTTAGTCACATTATTCAGGGTTTTTCTTTTTTTCCTTACAGTCCTGGTATTTTCTTATGACCTTCCTTCAAAGTGATGCCCAGTTTTGACAATGCTTAGCTTTTGCAGATCAGAAGTTTATTGTCACCAACCGTTTATACAGAAGGTTAACTCTGCCCCTTAACAGCATCAATTAGGATGATGGGTTTCCAATAGCAATCTGTTTTGTTTTGTTTTTTTACAAAACTATCCATTTGGGGAATCGGTAAATTTATCCCAAACAAGCGTGCAAAAGAAGAACATTGGATATATGTACAGAGTGAAACATGCTCTTAGAAAGTCAGGTCTTTTAGCTTCAGACATGGTCTTATCCAAGGGTTGCTAAGGATTGAGAAGGGGGGTAATGTAGTNTATGTGAATCGGCTTGCTGTAATTTAATTTTTAGTTCAATTTTTTGATCTTTTTCGTTGCGTTGTGATGACATCACATACGCGATTTCGTCGACCACGCTTTTGTGGAACGCGGTTTTGACGGGTCACGCTATTTACTATCAGTGCATTTCACATTTGCCTCCTCCAAGGGCTAAAAGTAACGTTTCTCCATTTCTATTGTCTTCATAGGGATAACAGTGACATGGTGAAGATTGCAAACGAAAGCTGCCAGTATCCCATAACGGGGATACAACTAGACTCTGAATGTGAAAGAGATGACTGTAACTCCAGGGGAGATCAATCAAGTGAATTCAATAGCATTTCTGATTGGGCGGCTCATAAAACCAGTCCTCAGATCAAGGTAAAGGAAGATGTTCTGAGACCTTTCTATCCAAATAGTCCTGATACACTTTCCTGTCATGTGGATTGCTGTGCAAAACTGTCTGGACAACAGGAAATATCTTCGAAAGGATTTTCCAAAACCTCAACGTATTGGCGACAGCAAAATCCATGTACCCCTGGGGTATATGTTCCTGCTAGAATAATTTATAACCCAGCTTCTCAAAATAAAGATCTGGAATATCCGTGTTTGGACATTTCTGAGGATTTTCACCGACAACGAGAAGAAGAAGAAAATTTTATTATCCTTGTTGACTCAACCGAGGAGGAGAATAGATCACCTCAGTTAGGAAAGAAATTGCCTTGTCATTACGAGGAATGTCATAAACCTTTCCAAGATCTCACCGGGCTTCAAGAACACAGGAAGCTACACATGGCTAGGAATTCATATTGCTGCCCCTGTTGTGGCAAGGAGTTTTTTCGTGCAGCTAATTTGCGAATGCACAAATTGACCCATACGAAGGAAAGACCACACAAGTGCCCCATATGTAACAAAGGTTTCATTCGCACTGCTGATGTTTGGAGGCATCTGCGCAGTTTTCACAAGATAGAGCGCTCCAGTGTTGTTTTGGGAAACGCAAACACAAAGAATCAATGGTGCACACCGAAGAAAAATCAGGATAAGGAAGAGAAGGCTAAACAGTTGGAATCTGCGGCCAGCAATCTCGGAAACGAAAGTTCAAAATCATGTATCTGCCCAGTATGTCACAAAGTTTTCGGCAAACCTAACTTGCTTTCCAAACACAAAGTGATACATCGAGAAGAAAAGCCGTACAAATGCAAAGAATGCGGCATGGCCTTTGTCCAAATGGCTAGATTAAAAAGGCACCATCTGACACATACTGGAGAGCGTCCATTCTCCTGTGAAAGATGCAACAACACATTTACACGCTTAGGCTCATTACAGCGTCATCGACGTATCCATACTGGAGAGAGGCCCTATTCTTGTTCCTACTGCGGTGTGTCGTTCACAGATTCAGGAACTCGGAGGAGGCATGAACAGATTCATAAAGTTATCCAAATATAAAGTGTGCTATGACTTGAAATTGTGGAATGGTGGACATTCTAACCCTGATGCTAGTTGTGATAAGGAATTACCTGGTGGAATGAAGATAAAAGTGCCAGTCTTAAATAATAAATTGTCATTACAACTGGATCTTTATTTTACAGTATATTTTTTCTTTATTTCTATTCAGCCCAGAGAAGGATGGGGATGAAGTGAGATTTCAAGGGGCCTTGAATCTAGATCTCCACAATCCTAGACCAACACCTTACATTAACAAGTCATGTTTAATGAAAAGAATGATAGCATTTCACTTGTATTTGTATTTGTATTTNAACATTAAATAAAAATAATAAACCCTAGTTTTTAGACCACCAAATAAGATAAGCTTTATTGTCCCTTTTTTCGGTGCACACAATGGCAGACATTAAAAAGGAACTTCTAATGGACAATCTCAAAAGTATGTGTGTCTGTGTTTGTATTTATATGTATGTCTGTATGTACATACATATACAAACTTACAAACACACACACACACACACACAGATCCGTCTTCTCTCTCTGCCTCCCTCCCTAATCCAGGCCCTGCTCAAGCAGGAGACCCTATACCTGTTATGGGGAACCTATGGCATGCATAAGCCGTCACCAGTGTAGCTGCACTGCGCATGCACGCACATGGGAGGCATGCATGCATGCGTGAGGAGAGCACGGTGTGTGTGTGTGTGTGCAGCGTGCCTCCCACGCTCCGTTTTTGGCACTAGGAGGCTTCAGTGAAAGCCTCCGGAGCCTGGAGAGGGCAAAAAACAGGACTTCCGTAAGTTCAGAAACGGGCGTGTTTCCAGCCTCCGGAGAGCCTCCGAAGCCAGGGGAGGCTGTTTTTGCCGTCCCAGAGACTCGAGGAAAGCCTCTGGTGATTTCAAAAGCTACAGCTTCTTCCAGGCCCACACTATATACCATAAAGACATTTTTTTCATTATTAAAGGAAACTGCTTCACAGGAAATAGCTAGGTTTTTTTTCCTCTGGAAAGCGTAGCAGCTTTTGCAAACATTCACCATTCCTGGTAAGGAGTGATTTGAGATTGCTTTTCTACTCTGGGATAGAAGGAGGCTATTTCATCCTATTTCAGATATTTCAGAGGTAAAAGGGACTTCTTTGAATGATACTCCAATTTCTGGTGCCTTTATGGACATGTTCCTGCTATTTTTTGGCCAGCAATTCAGAAGGAATTTGCCACCGACTTCTTGTATTTCTCGCCTACACACAATTTCCTAATCTATACTACAGGCTTTGGATTCCCTTGTAGTCTCCTCTCCGCGTAATGCGAAAGCCACCTCTGCTGTGCTTTTTCCTGATATCCATCAGGTTTGGCTAAGTGCCTGCCAGCTGCTGTCCTGATAGTCCTTGACTTACAACTTTCCATTTAACAACCACTTGGAAGTTATGATCACGTTGAGAAAAGCAACTTGCAGCAGGTCCTCAGACGTGGAAATGTTGCATGTCCCTGCTAATCAAAATTATTTGGAAAAGGGACAAGGAGAAAAACTCTGCCCAATTTATTCTTTCTTCCTTTCTTTTTTCTCTTATTTTTTCTTTCTTTCTCTTATTTTCTTTCTTTCTTTTTCTTTCCCTTTTTCTTTCCCTGTTTCTTTCTAATTTTCTTTGTCTTATTTTCTTTTTCTTTCTTTTATTTTCTTTTTCTTTCTTATTTTCTTTCTTTCTCTTTTTCTTTCTTTCTTTCCTTTTTCTTTCGCTCTTTCTTTTTCTTATTTTCTTTCTTCCCCTTTTCTTCTTTCTTCTTATTTTTTCTTCATTTCTTTCATTCTTTTCTCTCTTCCCTTCCTACTATTTTTACAAATTATCCAAGGCGGAAAACATCTTCAACCCACTTTCTTCCTCCTATTTTCCCACACAATAAGTGTGACAGATGAGCTGGGTTGAGAGAGCAACTCTCCCAAGCTCACCCAGCTGCCTTTCATGCCTGAAACGGGACTAGAAGTCACAGTCTCCAGCTTTCTGGTCAGGTGCCTTATACCTTGTGACTTCATCTACCATCTGCGAAAACAGAAGCCAGGCCAAGTCTAAAGTGCGTAGCTTGCAAGATCTCAGGAAACAAACATGTGATCGGCATACAGATTATTGCAGTGTATCACTACAGAGTAATTACCACCTTCGGACAGGCTGTGTTTTCAGTGGGTTTGACTTTGTCACAAGATTTTGCAAGAGCTGTCTAGTGCTTTTGATTAAAATCACACTCCTGACCTCTCCGAATGCTTTTGAAGCAAAGAAGGGCCATGACACAAGACTTCTGCACTGGAGGACCAAGGCAAACCCCAAGAATTGCTTGTTCCTCTTTCTAGAATCCGCAGTGCCCAGAAAAGGAAAACCAGTGAACAGAAGACGCCAAAATGGCTGCAGTGAACATCTATTTTCTGAGCTCCCGCAGGAGGAGGTTTCTAATGAAGGCGTGACCACTTTCAGGATCCTTGAGCCTGTTTTGGCACAATGCATTCAAATGCTTGTTAACACAAGCTGAAAATTATGGATGTGCTGGGGGTGTTGAACATAAGAATCACAGGGCTGGAAAGGACCTCAGAGGACCTCTTACAGACCAATGCCCTGCTCAAGAAAGGACATCATCCCACTCAAGTGGTTCTCCATTCTGGTTTTGGAAACCTCCAATGATGCAGCAGCCACAACTCCAGGAGGGAAGCCACTCCATCGATCAATTGTTCTCACTATCGTAAACTTTCTTCCTCTTTCTAGGTTGGATCTCTCTTTAACAAGCTTCCACCCATCATTTCTCTGGTGCTGTGGTGGCCCGCCAGTGGCAGCAGATTCGGAGAGTGAGGAGGTTGGGGAGGAACATGGGCCAGTCCTGGAGTCTGGAGAAGGCTCTGATGTGGGCTCTGCGTCAGAGGCAGAGAGGGGTCCAGGGCCGTATGCCAGTTATCAGATGCCTTGGGAGATGGAGATCAGTGAGGCAGACTGGAGCCTGTTCCCAGTGTGTGCATGCGCGGAGTTGCCAGATGAAGGGAACATCTAAAGAACAGGGGTCGACTTGGCAGTAAGGCCACAGGTGGACGATCAATGTCCCCTCCCAGAGGAAATAAAAGAGGAGCGAAAGGGGAGTGGAGTTTGCAGGAGACAATGAGTTTGCTTAATTGGTTCCTGACTCTCCCGAGATTCCTTGCCAGGTTTTGCAGATATCGGCCTGGCAGCTCTCCAAGTCAGATAAGGTCTGTGATGGTAAATCCTCCCTTGAAAGACTTTGCTGGATGTGAATGAGCAAAATTCAATTAATAGAAGGGATTTTTGTTGGGACC